CCATGCTGAGACAGCTGTATCTTTATTTGAGCTCTGGTGTACAGGACCACATTTCCCCTCCTAATGAGCTTCAACGAGACTCTGACCGAGGCCTTTTTATGGGGGTTTCTGGGCAAAGCTTGAGGCTTGATTAATCAGTTGTCATCAGATGTGATTGCCTGTTTAAAAACTCCCAAACTCTCTGACTCTGTTTAGTCAGGTTCAGTCAGGGTCAGTCCAAAGTCAAAGCATGGCCCTGTTGAGCCAATAGCCTGTCTGTATCCGCAGTGTCTCCAGCTTCCTGTCAGCTCCATTATTTATTTATCTCAAGGCTGACACAAGCCTTTTGGGGACCTGTGCAGGACCCAGTAACAGCGGTCCAATCCCCGGTGTAAATGTGTGCTGTAAGAGTATGTACTGACACTTAGAGAAACAGTTCAACATTAGGGTGTACACAGACTGACTAAGGCTGAGCCATATCAATCCCACTTAGCCTAGCTTAGCATAAAGACTGGAAGAAGGGGAAAACCACTAGCCTCACTCTCACTAATACCTCTTTGTAACATGTTTGTTTAACGTGGCCTAAAACCTGTGGTTGTAGGGGCTGAAACGGTTTCATTCACCGATCGCACTCTGCACCATCTCTGCCTATGCAAACAGTGTCCAGCTTTGGTCTCTGTACAGGCAGCATGGCACCAAACATGGCAGAAACTGGGTGAAAACATTCAAAAATATGCATCCACCAACTTCAAAACAACATCTCTGCTAAGAAGTAGTCACCTGGGTCTTGCTTACTGGTATGTGAGTGCACAAAGTTCCTCTTTAAACACTTTTTACTTTAAATACTTTAAAAAAACAGAGGGCCCAAACACAGTTCATACTTGCATTTAGTTTGGGGCCATGTGATGGATGAGGGGTCTGTATGCCTGGGGACGGCTCAGTTGCACCTCTAGCTTTACTATATTACTTCTCTCATGTCTTTTTGTCCTTGTCCTGCTCTCGTCTCTGCGTCTGAGTGCCGATCTTATCTGCTTATACTTTTCAGCCCAACACAAACTGACAGGCCGACTCCACTCCTGCCTTTCACCCGTCCACCCTGCAGCTCCCAGGACGAGCCTGAATTTCTGGATGTCAGACTATTTTGTTGAATGGCCAGTTAAAATGCCTGTAACCTCAGTGGTGTGTACAAAAGGACACGAACATCCAATCAGGTGCCAGGGGAAACACAGCGGGGAGGCACTCTTTGGTCGGGTCTCTCCTCCTTACAGGTGGGACTCCTCAGAGACCTGTGGGCAGGGACAGGGACACTGTCCAAGAACATTAAGAGGACTTGGCTTGAAGTTGACAAGACTCACACTCAGAGCTAAGTCTGGAGGAAATGGTAATAATGGTGGAGTCAGAGTTGATATTCGTAGGTTTGGCAGCCTTAAACTTCAGCAGAATTAAGCGATGCTACTAATAGTTATGTCTGTGCTTTAAATATCAACAGGTCCATGTTCAAGCTTGAACTGAAGTTTTTTGTGTCATTTAAAATTTATTTTATCCCCAGGAACATACTGCTCTTGGAAATTTGCAGGATTTTCTTTTCATAAAGAGTTTGATTTTAAAAATAAAGCAGACATTTAGTTATTCTTAGAAATAGAAAAACCTCAGTTCCAACCACAACAACTAATTTGCTTTTTATCAGCATATGCTCTCACCAGTTTTACATCTGGTCATCTGTGCACAGCCGTCCTCAGGCTATTACTGCTGCAGTCACATACTGTACAGCCATTTCCATGTTATTTCAGTGATTTGAGGAATAAGAGCATTTAACTGGAAGGTTCTGATGGTCCTCAGCACCTGTTGAATCCCTGGTTTGAGTCAGAATGAAGGTTTGTGTTTACAGATTTCACTCTCTTTTGTTCATGCATATTCTAAAAATGATTCTGTCACACAGCTGAACTGCAAAGCTGTTACATTAGCATATTTAAAATTGGACCATCTACAGCCGATATATAAAAGTGATAGCGAGGGTCGGAGAAGGTGTCTCTGTGTGAGCACATACATACTAAAAAATCACAGGATCCTGCAGGGACATTAGTTTTTTCTGGGAAACTGGAGCAAAACTTCAGAAATGCATTTAAACTTTTACTCATGATCCCAAAGTCTTCAAAGACACCAGCAGGTGACCTTCAGATATATAGCCTACAAACTGACTTGACCCAAAGTCAAGTACTTTGTATTCGAGAGAAAACACGACGAGCAGAGAATGGCACAGAAACAGGCACTGAGGTGAAGAGGATGAGAGATAAAGGGAAACAGTGTGCATGTTGTCAGGCTGCTGTTTAGTACTGCAGATGGTGGGACGAGAGGTCGGCAATAAAAACTGGGGGGGTCCAGGCCGAGGGGTCCGTGTGGACTCTGCCTACAGATTCTTAAACTGCAATTAGAAGCTCCTCCTGCCCTCAGCTCAGAGCTGCTGTGACGGCCTGACCTCCGATCAGTCTCAGTTTCTTTCAGGCTGCGACTCCTCAGATTGGCTGTTCACTCTTTATAGCACTTCCTGTTTGACTGAGCACCACAGGCTGTGTGTCTTTATGGATAGTAGGCAGGGCAAAGGTGATGTGCTCACTTACTGCATGTGTTAAATCATCCAGCACCACAAACAGCATCTCCTCTTCAAAGATCATTCATCTCCTGCTACAGAATGGGCCCAAACATATGTGGACACCCCGTCAACATAATGGGCCTGAGTACTTCCACTACTTATTGTCAGTCATCTACAAAGCTCTGTGAACTGTATGACCTCGTACAAAAGGTGTTACGCAAATACAAAATATATAGTTTGATACAGCAGGTAGCCAGGCTGATGTTCGCAGGTCTTCATCCTGGTTCCACCTCGGAGAAAGCTTTTTGTCTGAGTCATGCATAACCAAACTCCCCACTTATCTTTTACAATTGGTGTGTAAAAGAGTGGGTGAACTTTCTCCAGGCCTTGGAAAATGTACCTCGACACACATGGACGACAGACCTGACACAGTGAACTTCTGAACTGAGTGCAGGGTAACCTCCTGTCTTATCGGCACCACGCATTCCTCCAGGGGATTTATACCCCACCCCACCCCCCACCCCCCAGCCCTAAAGCTGATGTGTCTCCACAGGTCATCTCAGTAATGAGCCATGTGGTTCCCTCTGGCTCTCACTAATCAGGCCGTCCCATCATCGGCAGCCAAGTACACACTGAACCCAAAGTGGTTCTCTCTCTGCCATCTGGCCTCCATGCCTGGCCCCGTCTCCACGCTGCTGGCGATTTATGCCCTCCTGAGGTGTTTCGCCTTTTAACTTGCACATAATTGGCCCCCAAATGCAAAAAAGATGTGGAGGCTAGTTTTTATTGCCAAGCAGAGGTCATTGTTTTTTCATCAACACTGCCAAGGTTAAAATGACACCTTATGTCTGTATACCTGACCAGTTAGTGAAAGAAATAAGCAGTCTGTGCACAAGGTAAAGATGGAGCACAGAGCTGAAGGAAGGCAGCACGTGTGCTAAAAGACAGTGAAACAATTAAAAAACTAATCACAGACTCTTTCTTTTCCTACAAAGTCCCAAACCTTCAGTTCAGTACCTTTAGTTCTGGTTTCCTGTGCACATACCCACCTCCACCACCGACTCACCAGACATGAGACGCCTGCTGTCACTTTGAATGAGTTCATATGCAACATTCACAAGCAATGCACATGACAGGAATAAGGAACTTTACAGCTTTCTACATAGCTGGAAAAGTCAAATTTAAAAGGTCTGACATCATTTAAGAGGTCAAACCACAGCAGGTGATAAGTGGTGGAACCTGTTTTGAGGGTGCGTTCAGACTGACAATTACAATGTGTGAAACAAATGTAGCTTCCTAATTCAGTTCAACAGACCACTGCAGTGAAATATGCAGCATATCTGGGCAATGACATTTAGCCACTCAAATACATGCAATCATACTTTTCTGGTTTAACACAGAGCTGGTTTGCAGGTCTGAAGACATGCTTCAGGGGGGTTTCAGACTCTGTGAAATCATCTGAGGCCACTGGCCAGACTGTTCTTCACTTTAACAAGAAGTGTCAACAGTACACACATCCTTGCTTGCTTGTTACTATATTCCTGGTAAACAGCAGCTTTCTCTAATTAGACAAGAAGCTAACACAGTAACTCCACAAAACTGAAACAACTGGTCAGTTGATGGATTAGTTGATCATTCATCAGCAACTTTTTGGATAATTGATTTAGTCTGATTTCATTGTTCCAGCAAAAACACTTGTTGAAGTCTCTCAAATGTGACAACCTTTTTAAATCTTTGTCATTTATAATATTTATCTGAAAGCCAATAAAACAAGGAATCTGAAATCACTGATTTTGGCTACAGGAAATTATAAGAGGCATTTTCTCGTTTCTTTTATTTTGATAACAGCTCTGTCATAATGAAAATTATTATTGCAAAGTCAACATATCTTTGTGTTTGGAGAGGTACATTTTGGTGTCAGCTTTGCCACAATAGGCTGGTCACAGCTACTCAATAGGTTATAGGTAAGTGTGAATGTAGACCTCTACATACACACATTCATTTTTGAGAAAATGAAATAAAATTAAAATAATTATATGTAATTAAATATATAATATATTTAATTATATAATCCATCAACCAGTATGTGTTTGAAAGTTATCAGAAGCTTGTAAACGGAGTGTGGGTTGTGAACTAATGTAATTATAAGCAATGAAAAATATATCTTTGTTCAAATATCATTAATATATGATCTAAATCCAACCCTTAGCCACAAGAAACGCTCAAGAGATACCATAAGCATGCCTTTTGTTTTATTACTTACAAAGTCATAATTATTTTATACAAATGTCAAGTATGTAGAATATTTTTGTAATTCAAAAAAATCTGTAGCGAGAAGAGACAGAAAATGTAATATTTAATTTATATTACACTAGTTTAAAAAAAAAATTATTTTCAGGTGATATTTGCAACATCAACGTCACTGGTCTTACTGGGGTCCTTGACGTGGCATTAATAAGCAAACATGGAGGTGGTGCGCAAGGTTTTATAAAGTTTGTCTGTACATTTTGAGCATTATAATGATTATTAGCTTCATTCAGCAACCACAACACAGCCTATATGCTTTTATGCTGTATCCTTTGCGGGTATTTTAGGTGTGAAATTGTAAAATGAGCGGCTGGGCTGGTTTTTCTGATGAGGAACTACGGAGGATGCAGCAGAGAGGTAACGTTTCTCATTGCTAATGTTAGCATTCTTGCTAATGCTTCGGCTTCCCAAGTATTTTATTTTCGGTAAAAACCTCCGGTAGTAACTATCACCGCGTGTATTTCAGACTTAGCAGCAGCCCGCGGTCGGAAACCGGCTCCAGCCAACCGGAGCCGGCAGCAGTTACAGCGGGAAAGGGCTCTTCAGTTAGCCGCCCAGAAAAATGCAGGAACAGATTCACCGGAACTTCCACCCGAGCAACTGCTCACTAAACCACCGCCGAAGGAAGAGCCTCAACCCGCCGCTCCATCAGGCGCTCCGGCTGTCAAACAGGAGGTGAAGGAGAAGCCCAGCCTGTTGAAGTCGACTGAAAGTTGTCATTCGGCTGCAGAGGAGGAGACCCCGGCTGTGAAAGAGCTGGACAAACAAGAGGTGGAACTGTTAGTATGATTTTGTTGTTGTACACACTGCAGAAGTTCGCATTGTTCTGCATAACATGTCGGCTGCTTTGTACATAACACTTGTCTATGACTGTTGCTGCCTCCTGTTAGTGGTCATAACGGCTGGTGGTATCCTCTGTCCAGCTGCTGTCCCTTTCACCTGGGTATAAGTGTTTTTATGAACAGGCTTAGTCCAGCATTGTGTACACTACCCTGTAATTTGGTCAGTACGTGTTTTTTTTAAACCTGCTATCTAGCAATGGGCTAGGTTATTTAAAAGGTGACTCTCAGATCTCACAGATGTGTACGATCTGCATGGGGCCAAGCCAACGTTGAAAACAGGTAGCAAGTCACATAGGTGACATTGAGGTCAACGCTCAAGTAGGCACGGATTTAGATGACATTTTATTGAAGGTGGCTTACCACATGTGCAGAGCCAAGGTTTTATGATAGTCTGAAAAAACATCCATGCACAGACATATACTAACTGCTTCAGATGCTTGAACCTTTATTTTGCATATTTATGTTTAGATAAGCAGGGCTTGTGCCACTAAGCATTTCCACTGAATTTGAGATAGACATTACACTTTTCCTTTATACAGTGAATGTGTGAGCTTTCATATGTTGTGAACTTTTAATCAAACTGCCTTTAAAGTAGATCTTTGTTTTTATCTCTCTGTGAGCATACATTAGATGTGCAGCTCCTTTCATGGTGTTTGTTTTTTATCTTTCTGATTTTAAGATGCATTTTCTTTGTCTTTTAACTCTGTGCGACTCACCAGACGGGAAAAGACGCGTCTGGAGCAGCTGCAGCAAGAGCAACAAATAATCGAAGAGAGAAACAAGCGCAAGAAAGCTCTGCTGACAAAAACTATTGCTGAGAAGTGAGTATGGATGGCTTGGTATCATGGTGACGCACGGGAGTGACGGCTCAGACAAAAAGATTAACATTGACCAAAAGAACTGAATTTACCTTACCAGTTAATTCTCCACAGGTCCAAACAGACTCAGGCAGAGGCCGTGAAGCTCAAGAGAATCCAGAAAGAGCTGCAGGCCCTCGATGACATGGTGTCCAGTGATATCGGCATCCTGAGAGGAAAGATAGAACAGGCCAGCTGGGACTACACTGCCGCGAGGTACAGAGGCACAGTGAGAACATAGGGAATTAGACAAAGTGTGTTTTATGAAGAAGATATCTGTGATTTCTGACAGACAAACGTTAGTGAGATCTTGGGCCTATGTACAGAGGAGAACAGAGCACGGTACAACCTGTGACATTGAACATGTAGTAGACCTTTTTCACAGCAGATGTGTGGCTGCAGTAAAAGCACAGATGTCACTGATAACATTACAAACGGCTTAATTCAATTCTGGCAGGCAAATTGTACGCTCCTGGTGTTGTACATGCTGGCACTGTGATGCAGACTGGGACACCTGATGGAACTGAGCCATAGTTAATCATATGTGATTCTCCTCCTTTGAAAATGTCAGCAATAGAGCTCTGGACCTGGAGCAGCTAAATGGAAATCAGCCCTAAATCATCTGATTTTTTTCACCTGTGCTTCTCCTGCTGTTACATGTCAGGGTGCTCTCAGTGAAAAAACAACAACCTACAGTACAGAGTGTTACACTGATAACAAAAAGGCACTAGCTTTGCTTAACCAGCTGTAAATATAACACAGTGACCAGCCTTCTGCAGGCAGCTACTCCTCCAGTGCTGTAGACATGATAACATTATCTGTAATGATTAAACAACACCCCCTGTTTTGCTATGAGCTTTCTGGTTTTTGGACATGGTTTGGTCAGCCACTGTTCTTCCTTATATTTAATCACAGTATTGCAGTAAACAACATTGTGTGATATTATTTTGTTGAAAAACAAGTTACCAGGTAGTCTACAGTACATTTACTGTAAACCCTTGAAACACTGCCCCCTGCAGATGGTTTCCAGAACTTGTGTAACTGTCTCCACAACATGTTGCCCACCGTGAGCTGCTGTCTGCTGTTCTGCTCCAACACAGAGGTTAGCATGAGTACAACAAAAATCCTGAATAATTTGGTAAATACTACATAAAACTGATATTTATCTTCCTGAATCTTGAAAATATTCTATTTTCTACAGGTCTTTGTACTTTGAAAGTTTGATAGCAGCTCCAGGCACACGGACTGTAAACTGTGTTGTAATGAACCAACTCACAGTGAAATGGTATGTTGCCTTGTGCATGGAGCTGTAAGTGTGCAGAGCCTGTTGTGTCATGAGCACTCGTTATCACGAATGTTTGTGTAACGGAGAGAGGACCCGACCTTCACACACTCATTACACTGGACTCTGTTATGATAATGTTGATTTCACGAGTGGTTGAAATTGCACTGAGGTGGAACATAAAACCCAGAGGTGGAATTCAGTGTTCAGTAATGTTTGACATCATCTGGTGTGTTGCCACGGTTTCCAAACAGCATGTGGTCTTCACAGTCAAACAATGATTCTGTGTCTGGATGCTGTGGGAGGAGTGCTGCTGTGCTTGAAAAGATCCCAGGTTGTTTGAGAAATATGAGGATGGTTTCTGTTAGAAAACATGTTTTACACTGAGCTACAGAAGCCAAAGAGCTTCACGGCGCTTATAATGAACAGTCAAGGAATGCAGATGGGAGTTCTTGGATATGTTAGAGTAGATAAACACCCCCCACGTTCCTTCTTCATTTTCTTTCATTATTTGTTTACGCTTTGTGACAGAAAGCGTTACCAGAAGGCGGAGTCAGAGTACGTGATGGCCAAGCTGGACCTGCACAAGAAAACTGAGGTGAAGGAGCAGCTGACGGAGCACCTCTGTGCCATCATCCAGCAGAACGAGCTGCGTAAAGCCCACAAACTGGAGGAGCTGATGCAGCAGCTGCAGCTTCAGGCCACTGTGGAGGAGCCGGAGAGGCCGACGGAGGAGGATGAGAAGGAGAGGAAGAGGAGGAGAAGCAGCAGCTATATAGATGTGCAGAGGGATGGGAAGGAGGGAAACGGCTCAGTACAATCAACCACAGACTGTAAACCCACAGAGGAAGAGGCTGTGAAGGAGGAGAAGGGAGGTGATGTGCAACAGGAGCACAGTCCGTGCACTGAACCACCAAAGACTGAACAAGACTGTAGACCAGTAGAGAATGGTGCTGTGAGTGAGACCGCGGCCTCCTGAGGCTCCGTCACCAGACACACTTTCTCCACTGTAGGCATCAATATGAAACATTAACCGTGCTCTTCACTAGTACTGTCAGCTGAGTGACCCACCTGCACAGAGAGGTGCAGGCCACACTGAGTGCATCCTTAGTGCTGGACTGACACCAGAGAGTGGGTTCACATCTGCATGGTGGGTTTTGGTTTAGGCACCATAAGCACTTTGGAGCAGTTTTGGGAAACATTTGTGCTGAATATCGAAGAAGTCGTCGTGTCCCGTCTGGGGCATTTCTCTGTATAAAACCAAGATGCCCAGTTTTCCCCGAGGGCTTTGAGTGTCCTAAACAGAACCACAGAAACCTTAACAATGCTTTAGTTGCTATGAACACATGTTGTAGAACAACAAATGAAACATCACATTTCCAGAAAAGTTCAGCATGAACATTTGGCATCTTTGCTGATTCAGTTATTATAAACATTTCCACATGATGCTGCTTAAAAGAACCCGACCCTGCAGCCTGGCAGTAACATCACCGCCGCTCTCTGCATTATCTGCACATGGCAGCTATGGTTCAGGTTAGAGTGGGACTGTGGTTACGGCAAATAAACTATGGTTAAGGTTAGGCCAGTCAAACACTTTATGTTTGGGGCAGGATGGTGGTTTAATAAAAAGGCAAATGAATTCCATGACCATCTTACACGCTGCACTTTTACTACATGTAGGACACGTGCAGGTTTGTCTAATATGGCCGTGAACCTCAGCCAAGCAATATTGTGTCTTTTTTAAAACACATACTTTACTTTTGCTTCTCAGTGTATTTACCATTGACAGCATATGGTTGGGACCAGGCTGGTCTGTAGAACCAGGTATCGACAAACTACCAAGTACTGGTGGCTGGTATCAAACGTCTGGTTAGAGTCTTGTTGACTTCTTCAGTCAAAGTTGTTTCAGAGTCTATTTGAGTCAAAGTCCTTGTATGACTTGTTTTTATTTTGACGTTTATCTTTTCTGGCTGTAAGCAACAATATTGTTTGGCATTGGGTTTAAATCTGAAGTACTGTATCAGCGCTGCTGTTGAGAACTTTGAAACGGTATGTGTGTACATGCAGGGTCAGACAATCGGCTGCAGAGTAGACCAGAAGAATCTTCAGTCCGTTGTGTTTACTTGTGTGAGCTCCTCTTCAAACGTGCTTTTACTTGACATGTAAATGATGTGAGCAAAGGTTGAATTCAGAGGTTTTTGACTGTACAAGAGTGAACGATGTGTCCTGCTCAGGTCCTGGAGGAGAGTGAGTGCTTCGTGCAGACAGACTGGGTTTCTGTTCCAGACAGGAACCCTGCTGCCATATGTGCTGGAGCTGGCGTTGGGCTTGTGCTTCACAAAGCTAATTGTCATCTTGTCAGTGCAGCTGAGGAGCCTCCTGAATGGTAAGATGATATGTGACCGTGCATGTCCAGCTGCTCTCAGCTGCGTGTGCAGGGTGTGTTGAAAATAATATATGACAGTAATCTAATGTTAATCTGTAGGTACGTGGGTCTGACCAGCGTCTGATTTCTTAGTTTGAATGTTCTGAAGCTGATGCATAGAGGAAGGTATTTAAATGGGCTATATAAATAAATAAAGGTGATATTTAGCTACACACTACACTGGGATATTTTACTAAAATAAACTTTAAAAATTGCAGGTTTCCCTGATGTGTGTTTTGTCCTCACTTGGTCACTGTAGCATTTAGACAGTGAGTTCTTTGCTGGACTGAAGCTCCAGCGGCAGAGCGGTGTTGGACTCGAGTCACGTTAAAGCACTCTGTGTTTCTGTAACCTGCCAGGAGATTTTGCAGCGCTCCAGTCACATCTGGCCGCCTGGAGCAGATACGGTAAAGGCAGCTTTTTAAACGGGCTGGGGGGAGAGGGACTGGCGGCCTCCCTGTTCCTGCGGTGCTGGACGTCCTCAGGAGCAGGTTTATTCAAATGAAACTGACTTTATTAAGTCATTAGGACTCAGGTGTGAACATCACCATAACATGTTATTAACTACTGTACATTTACTCAAGTGCAACTTTGATTTGCCTGTACTTCTCTATTTTATACTTCTATTTGACTACATTTAGGAGTGTTGGAACTTTTGGCAACAACAGATTCACAGTAGAATCAGATTCTACTAAAGTCAGATGCTTTTGTGCACTGACACTTTGGATCGAGTCCTTTTAGTCTTGAAATGAGTCCTAAAAGTAAATAAACTGTTTAGTATTTTCACTTTAGTGTTTTCTAAAACCAGGTTTGATTTTTCAAACCATTCTCCCAGATCTGCCTTTTGGTCTGGTTTCCAGCACACACCTGTTTTTATCAGGTTCATTTAGATTTTAAAATTAAATATTCATATTTAAAAAAAAAATTCTTTAATAAATGAAGAATTTTGGGACTCAGTTTTAGACTTTGGCTTTATTCTAATTATGGAGTTGTATAAAAACACACAAGTAATTAAAACTAGCTCCACCTTCACAGGCTCCAACATTAAAATGACACACGATTAATGCGTCAGTATTAACGATCCAATAATGTAATGCAGCTTAAAAACGGTGCCTACCTTTTAAGACTTCCGTATCTTAAGTAAAACTTTTCATTCGACATATTTCTACTGAACGTTTCTGTGCCCCCTCATTCAGGTTTTATTTCTCGATTAAAAATCTTTGAATTAAAATATTTTGTAGAAAATTTCAACTTTTCAACAAAAACTGCAAACTGGACACATAGACAGGAGGCTGCGGTTTTCAACGGGAGCAATAAGTGTGTGTGTGTGTGTGTGTTGGGGGGGGGGCACCCTTAGGGTAAACTGTATAGAAATGATTATGGTAAAATCAGAAGATACTGGATGCGATGTGGTCTCAGACCGCAGGAATCGCTTCTCCATTGGAAATCCATTTCTATCGGCACTGCGTGTGCGTGTGAGCTGCGGGGAGCGGGCATTATAAAGTATGATTTATGTGGCGCTGCGTCCCCCGACAGGTCCACACAGACCCTGAAACCCGAGAAGCCAAAGACAAAATAGAAATGAGCCAAATCCCTGCAGATCTGGGCATGTGGACGCGCCCGGGCCTCAGCTCGGCTCTGAACTCACTGTCGGCGGCACCAAAGATGGGTCGAGTCACGGAGAGTAACCCGGTTTTAATGTCTGACATAAATCCCGTGGGCTCGCTTTAATGTTGGGCCCACTTTAGTCCTACTTCACTTTGGGAGTTAAACGTCTGTCCAAATGAATTTAGCTGCAGGATAATTAAAGCTCCTATCGCAGCCGCATTATTTTAATTTCCCGTAGGAAGCCATGGAGACTCAAAATAAATAAATCTGGATAATAAATAAAAAAATTACTCTTATCGAACAAAAAGTGAAAGAAGCTCTAATCGAAGTTACATAAAAATAGAAAGTGTTCGACCCATTTCAAAATTATTCACCCGAACTTGATAAGATTACACAAACCTTAACATCTGAACCAAAAGCTAATGAGCTGAAGTGTGTGTGTGTGTGTGTGTGCGCGCGCGCGCTCTCCGTAAACTCTCCGTGTTGTAATCAGGAGCAGATTTGCTGTTTGATGCCGCTGCACCACGGACCCTTCACAGTTCAGCGTGACCCGCCTGCACAGCGCAAACACGCCCGTGGCCTACTCCAGCAGTGGCCTACGGTTCGGGCAGCGACTCCGGCAGCTGGAGCCACTTTGCAGACTTAGATAAAACCGTATTTCGTGTGAGAAGCCTGCGTCTCCCAGAGGTCAACCTGTCAGCAGCTCTGAACCCAGACCGTTTGTTTCAGCTCCATGACAGTGACGCATCGTCATCAGAGTCCGAGACGCACAACTGGTCTCAATGCGCCAAAGCTGCTGCTTAAACGCGTCATACGAGCCTTTTCCAGTCGCTAGAAGCGAAACCTCCCATCTCCAGTTTTGTATATAATCGACTTTATGTTATCTAAATGTTTTATTGATAGCTATGTAACGCCAACAATTTAACACTGACAGAGGTGGCTATTTATAGGTGTAGGACGTAGGCTGTTATTGTTGTTTTAATTAAGAAGTTAATGTAGTGGAGAGTTTTCCGTCGGGCCTCTGCCACAGTCCGTAGTTAACTGTATTAAACAAGCCTGTTCGGACCGAGGCCTGCAGGGCATCTGTGAAATAGTGAGGAGAAAACAGTGGCCTTTCCACCAGAGGCAGCGCCACAGACGAGGCAGGAGCAGGATACAGTCTGGACCGATAGCAAATGGCAGAAACAGACCGGTGTGGATAAAGGTAAAGCTTTTGTAAAACCTCCGAATTAGATCAGATTAAATGACCTGTTATTACTGCGAGCGGCAGCCGACGTGCAACAAAATGCAGTTTAGGGACCAAAACAACAGCAAACGCCATATGGACAGAGAGAACTACGGAAGGTCCTATAGTTGTTAAATATACCAATGAAGTAGCCAAGCTTTCCAGAATAAGTGACATGTAAACGAAATACACGGTGAGCGTTTATATTTATGCACAACACATACAAGTGAGGACTGTTACATTTTCCATGTTTAGCAGAACCTTTGGTAGCTATCTAAAGTTCGGGTCTGCATCTCTGCCGTCGACATAATAAGGCCTCCTCATTCTGGATCCTCCTCTGGAAGCTGCGCTCAGCCCCGAGGCTGTGGGGGAGGCCGGTGGGGGAGGCCTGCAACTGAGCGGCGGTGTGGCACCGGTTTCTCCGCGATCAGGCGCAGCGCGGGGACAGCGTGTCCGCGGCATGTGGCTGCCTGCGCAGGATGCGAAGAGTCCGCAAGGAGGCCGTTTGCTCACATTCAGGGAAATAAGCACCGAGGGCCAGCGGACAGCGGGGCCAGGACGAGTGGGAGCTCTGAATGACACTGGCAGTCACACCACAAAAATACTTCCGTACAAATTAAAGTTCTGCATTCATTCAATCATTCAGAATGTGAAATATTATCAGACTGTTACCACTGACGCATCATTTTAGTGATGAACTGGGTGCAAGCTTCCACGTTAACTGCACAGCTGGGTGGTTCAATTTGTAGCAAACCATTCATTTTATAACATAATCATATGGGTTTTTAATGTCAGTCTAAATCTGTGAAGTGCCCAGTAACTGTAGCTGTCAGGAAAATGTAGTGGTGAGAAAAAATACGTTTCTCTAAAACAAGTAGAGCCTTGTTTCTCTGAGGCGTTTAATACATCTGCGGTAAAGTCAGAGTAAATCAGTTATATTTACAGTGTGGACAACACAACAACATATGTCACTGTTTGGATAAAGACAAACTTCACAAAGGGAAGAACAATAGAACACAGGAGTGGAAACTAACTAGATTTACATCCAGCATGACTTATTAAAAAGTTTGAAAAGTCAGCAATTACTGAATTTACTGATAATGTGATAGCTATGAACAGTTGGTAACGTGATGTCACCTGGGCTCTGGTATGTTTTCAGTGAATAACTTCATCCTTGACATCTGTACAGTTGTGTGTGTGCTGTGTATAAGCTCTGGCACCTGTTCAATCATTGTGATCACCTTTTTCAGACATTAATCTCTTCAGCTGTGTGTGGACAGTCACAGTCAGGCCTGTGTGTCTGACATGCTCACAAGCTGAAGTAAAAGTTTTGGCTTCGACTTTTAGTGAAATCCAATCCAGCACAGAGGCCGACCGAGGCTGCATGCGCTGTGTACCTGAACGCTCACGCTCCCACCTGCCCATTGACTCCTGCTCATTCTGGTTTAGAGAGTCAGCAGGTTCTCGTGGTGTCTCCGTTCACCTCCCGCCCACCGTCTCCCCCCAGAGCCAGACCAGACCTCAGACCAGCGCGGTTCCTAATTATCCCCGTTCAGGCTTTTGGTCCTGACATGAGTTACAGTCCACAGTTTCATGACCCTGTGATCAAGTTCCTTTTCTAATTCACAAAGCCAGTTTACTGTTGTGAAGCTCTGCATTCATTTATCATCATTCCTGTTTTTGGCTCCTGCAGTTTAATATTGTGTCTGAGTGAAAAATATCAGTCTTTAAGATTTATAGGCAACACTTCATGGAACTTAGTCTGAGCCCAGACAACTGTACGACTGATGAAATACTGGGAGCCTTTAACACAGAGATTAAACACAGTCAGTCACTTTGTGTTGCAGGTCAGCAACACTAAGACATTACTGTTACATTAACACAGCTGGTCTGAAGGGCCTGATGTAAAGTGTGCACACATACATGTACATTCAGCTCCCGTAAACATCGAGTTCACATTTAAACACATAAAAACATGCAGCTTCATTCATTTCATTATTCATTTCATTATGAGCCTTCAGTTTTATCTTAACAATTGTGTGTCAGAGCTTTAAGTGTTCAGGATTCTCAGGTGTCGTATGTGTCAGTTTTATTATAAAAACACAGATTAAAATGATATTTATGTATTAATTTAGTTTTAATTTGTTGGATTGCATTTTATTTTATTTATTTTGCTGCAGACAAAATAATGGCATTAGGTCTAACTGTGTGTTTTGCCTTTCTTTAGAAATGCAACATGTAACATCCTGCAGATTTTTAATCCACAGTTAATTTAATTTAATCAGAGTTTATCAAATGCAAATGTTCCATTATCCAAGCTGGTTGTCACCTTGAATGTTCAGTGATACTGGAGACTGTGGAAGCTGTGGATCCCTGCTCTTTATGACGGTTCTCGGCCTTTCTGTTGGTCACGACGTCTCAGGATTGATTCACTAACATACAATGTAACAGCAGACAGTAACTGTGGTGAGAGCGAATGGCATGTTGTGCATTAAAGGTAACAGCTGGACAAGGATGATTGCAGTTTGGATCTCAGACCATGGGGTCACCGGGCTGAGGGCGTGTCGACATCCTCTGAGGCTGATCTGTGATTTGGGGCTGCATAAACAAAGTTCTCTTGATTTGAACCGACTTCACAACTCAGTCATCAGCGGTTGTTCCCTGTATCGTGTTCACATTTGTATTTTTGTCTAAAATTACTTTTAGTATGAAGGCTGTGTTTAAGCTCGTCTACTGTCATTGGGTAGTGTAGCAGTTAATCATAGCAAATTATTTATTGAACTTTATTATCGAGCTGTATTTTTATTAGTTTGTAATCCCTGTCCGTCTGTAAACAGATGACGTTAGTGGCCACAGAGCCAACAGCTGAAGCTCTGGGTTAGCATTTAGGCCTACTTCATTATAACTGTTTGCAGATACTGTGTGTCGATGACCTTTTTCTATTAGGTTTATTTTATGAAGTTTACAAAGCTGCATTTCTTTGTTCAAATAAAAAAAAAAAAAGGCAAACTACTTTCTATATGAACCAGAGCACAAATGCAGCCGTAGATTCTTAGCGAGCACGGCTTCTCGCTAACGTCAGCTCTGCAGGTTTGCCTGTTCCTCTCGGAGATGTTTGGACATTTCCATTCGCCACAGACAAACTGTAGCAGCCGGAGCAAACAGGCCACTTTCACATCCAGCTTGGAACAAAGACCGGGGGCCCTGGAGGAGACGACTGTGAGTCTGAGACGTGGGGAGGCCCTTTTTTTTTCCCCGGTTGGCACCGGAATGGAGTTGTAGGCAGGAAAAGAGAATCTGGGGGGAAAACTAATGATGAAAAAGTCTACTCTATCCCTGTGCCTTCATTAAATACATGGAAAGAACGAGCGAGGCACATCTGGATTCAATCGGCCTCTCTTTGATGGCATCAAGTGTTCTTTTCCCAGATCAGGGGGCTGGAGGCTATGGGATGTCTAAGCAGCTCAGAGCCCAGAGTCGACTCCTACCAACCCCCCACAGCCCCCATCGCCTCCGCTGCCCCACTCCTTCCATCCCCTCAGCCCCACCACCTCTCCACTTCACTGCAGTACCAGCAGGAACAGGTTAGAAGCCTTCACTTTCACTTTGAGGGACTTTCTCTGTTTCTGCTCTCAGGTTCACCACCAGGGAGATTTTGGCCTTTTTCCTGCACAACCTTTATCTGATGCTGGGGGTTACTTAGGAGATTCAGAGAAAAGCTTTTAAAATACGACAGAAAGCACTTTAAACATCAACTGGCTTGTGACACATCATCAGAAGTTGTGGCTTTGTATAATTGTGCTGTGATTTTCCTTCTCACCTGAAGAGGTGTCCAGTGTTTTTGTAAACGCTGGACAGTGACCCTGTAACTCTTTCATGGGACTCCTTGATGTGTCCCAAACCCAAGGTTGGGAACCGCAGTTTTAGAGAGGTCACTCCTTCTTTCTCTCTTTCCC